AAGGTTAGAATACTTACATTCTAGTTCTAACCCGTTATTCTTTCCCTTACCCACAAATAACTATGTAAATTATTAATATCCAACAATATTAATAAAAAGACAGTTTGAAACTGAATATAAGGTGTTATTTTCAATGATAAAAATTGATATATGTACATATACCTACAAAGAAAATCATTTCAAAATCTTTTTTTAAATGATTGAATTGTCAGTCTGAGGTTATATTCATGTACAATTATCCTTAAGTGTAAAATTTCTTCCAAAGTTGTTATTTGCCTCCAAAACCATTATGGAATAATTTTTGAACAGGAAGCAGAAACAGCAGAGGCAGGCAATTAATTTCATGCATTTATTGCTTTCATTAAATAAACTTCAACTACATATCTTCTACACTTCTACAAAGAAATAGCTGTATAAACAGATAGTGTAACTACTTGGTCAATTCACTTATATTTACTCATAGAGACAGGCTCAGAACTCTCTAGAAAATAGAACATTTTAGCAGTGAGAGAATGGAGAACAATTAAATGTACTATTTTATAAATTTATATGTTGCAAATTATAATGGAAACGAAAAAGTTTGAAAAACAGTTCCCCAACTTGATTTACTAAAGAAATCAAAAGGCTTGATTTACTAAAGATAATTTTGGTTATAACATAGCTCCAGAAGTGAATAATTTCAACATATTTTAGAGAGACTTCAGAGAAGTGTCTATTCATTCCTCTGTGTGGCTTTCAGGGTCCTTTTGCTAGGTGTACTTTGAGATATACAAGAGAAAAATGTATATCAGTCTCCAGTTCCTAGTGGAGAACAAAAACCTTGTTTTGGTGACTATAATGTAGTGTAGCAAAAAATTCTTGTTGATGTTAAGTGCCGTTGAGTCAATTCCAACTCATAGTGACCCTGTATAGGGTTTCCAAGGAACAGCTGGCGAACTTGAACTGTCAACCTTGGGGTTCAGCACGATTTTGCAATCCAGAGTGTTCACCCACACCGTCATACCGAGACACGGTAAAAAAAACTTATGGTAGAAAAAATTAGTGGTAAAAAAAACAAGAATCTGCCATCTTTCTCTTGGAGTTCTGGTGTGATACTGTAGGGTAAGTACTGAACAACTAATTGTAAGGTAGGTAGTTCAAATCCACCATCCACTACTCCTAAACCCTTTTCAAGGTCGCTATGCGTCTTAACCAACTTGAGGGCACTTAACAACAACTTTTCTCTTTGTTTTGTTGTTACTAAGTGCCATCCAGGTAGTTCTGACCCATAGCAACCCTATATAGGGTTTCCGAGGGACGACTGGTGAGCTTGAACCGCCGACCTTGCAGTACAAACAGCTTTGCAGTCTGGCGCATTAACCCACAGCGCCACACCAGGACTCCTTTCTCTTTGTTGTTGTTTTTATTAAGTACCGTGGAGTCAGTTCGGACTCATAGAGTCACAGTGACCCTACACAGGGTTTCCAAGGATTTTACGGGAGCAGAAAACCTCCTCTTTCTCTGTGGAACAGCTGACTTTGAGATTAGCACTATGCTACCAGAGCTCCTGAGTAGGGGGAGGGGGTGGTGGGGATGGTGGGGATAAATAATAGAAGGAAAGCCAACCCACTGCAAGTAATATACCACAGAGGTAGTGTCTAGAAGAGAATTTCTAGATAAGGTTTCAATGGCATTTACAGAGATAAGGAAGATCAGAGTGAAAATAACTTTAAGTACTACCAGAGTCCTGGTGTGGTGCTGTGGGTTAATGCTCCAGACTGCAAGTCTGTTTGAACTGTAACATCGGTGGTTCAAACTCACCAGCAGCTCCTTGGAAACCCTATACAGGGTCGCTGTGGGTTGGAACCAACTACAGCACTTTCAACAACAACAATTTGTAAGCTATGTGTTAGTTCCTTTCCTATTGCAATTTATCTCTCTGATACAAAATTGCAAAATGAACAGAAACTGTATTTTGTGCTAAATTGTTTAAATGTTACTCTGGATTATTATTAAAAATGTGAAATTATAAAATAATGTGAATTATAAAATAATCCAAATCTCATTATGTGATTTCATATTTTTCAGAAAAAAAAAGCACTTAGAAAAAATTAGTGACTGGTTGAAAATCTTATACTGCTTCTAGTTGAGGAGAAAAAAAAGGGGGCGGGGGGGGGAGAGGTACGCCAAAAGTGAAAGCAGCACAAGCACCATCTAGTGGTCAAACTGAGTAAGTTTGATAGAGTTAAAGTTCACTACACTGAAGGATGTTGTTGCTGCTGTTAAGTGCCATTGAGTCGGTTCCGACTCATAATGAGCCGGTATTGGGTTTCCGAGGACCACCGACCTTGAAGTGCAAACCGACCTTGAGGACGAGTGCTTAGCCTATGGCGCTACACCAGGACTCTATAAATAGAGGTGAAGCTGCATAAAAACAGAGGAGCTTGACACTGCCACCCAGTGGCCACAAAATGAGAAACTGCTACATGAGTTCACAGACTCAAAATTTTAACTTAGGAAGGGTTTTGAAACTATTTGTCCTGTCATCCATTTAATGTTAGAATCTTCCACAACAGCATTTTCTAAAATATCGCACTCTGGATGATTTTAGGAGGCATTAAAGAAAAAAAAATGTGTTTGCTATCTTGATAGCTATATATTTAAAACCTTAAATATTGTTGTTAAGTGCCATCGAGTCGGTTCTGTCTCATTGGGACCCTGTATATGCTTTTCCAAAGAGCGGCTGGTGAGTTTGAACCGCCAACCTTGAGATTCAAATGACCCTATGGTCCAGTGCTTTATCCTATAGTGCCACACCAGGATTACAAAAACACTTCCGATAGGAATATAAAGAAGTCCCCCGGTGGTGTTTTGAACCAAAAAGTAAGCGCTTGGAACGCATCAATTGCTCTGTGAGAGAAAGATTTGGCAGTCTACTTCCATCAAGATTACAGTCATGAAAACCTTATTATGTAGTTCTCTGCTGTCCTAAAAGGTTGGCTCGACAGCACTGGGTTTTAGAAAATATATATCTACTTAATATATTGATTAATATTTTTCTTAACTACATTCTTGTTGTTGGTAAGTGCCATCGAGTCAGTTCTGACTCATAGAGACCCTGTATAAGGTTTGCAAGGAGAGACTGGGTGAGTTTGAATCAATGACTTTCTGCTTAGTAGTCCATTGCTTATCCTATAGCACCACACCAGGATTCCTATCTTGTTGTTGATGTTGTTAAGTGCCATCAAGTCGGTCCTGATTTACAGTGACCCTATATTGGGTTTACAAGGAGAGATTGATGGATTAGAATTACCAACCTTGTGGTTCAAACTAACCTGCTTTTAAAATTTTATGGGGGAAAAAAATCCATTCTTTCAGCTCCATTTTCCCTAAAAGTTTTTGAAGCCCCCTTTTATATAATATCATTATTAATAACATGTATCTATTTAAATAAATTTAATACCCTAAAAATAAGGAGCTCTGGTAGCGTAGTGGTTATGAATCAGGCTGCCAACCTCAACGTCAGCAGTTCAAAACTACCAGCTGTTCCGCCAGAGAAAGATGAGGTGTTCTGCTCCGGTAAAGATTTACAACCTTGGAAACCCTTTGCAGGGTCACTATGAGTCGGAACCGACTCCACGGTACTTAATAACAACAACAACCCTAAAAAAATACTATTCAAATAAAGGAATTCATATAGATATATAGATTGTTGTTTTTAAGCACAACTGAGTTAGTTTTGACTCATTCTGATCCTGTATAATGTTTCCAAGGAGCAGTTGATGGGTTTGAACAATCGACCTTGTGGTAAGTAATCCAGTGCTTATTTTATAGAGTCACAGTGTTCCCACCCCAGTAATACTATGGATTATACATGGATCTACCAACACAAAAATCTGAGGTAAAGAACAAAATCAAAAACAAACAACCATTTGACCTCATGAGCTAAACACATTTAGCCTTTGATTTGCTAAAATGAACTCTTCCTATTGACTCCTTTTGTGGTGCTATAGGACCGGCACTGGACTGCAAACCACAAGGTCAACAATTCAACCTATCATCTGCTACTTGGAAACCCTATACATTGTCGCTATGAGTTAGAGCCAACTGGATGGCACTTAACAACAACAAAATCTCCCTATGGCTTCTTCATATGGGACCTTATCAGTTCATTGCTTTGTTTAATGGTAAAAATTAATAACACCTTTCTGGAGTCCCAAGAATCACAATAATATCTGATATGTAATATATTCTCAAATACATGTTGAATAGCTGAATTCATAAAGAATTAAATGCTACCCCAAGGCCAGCAGGCGAAAGATGATGCTTTATGTTCCCATAAAGATTTACAGCCTTAGCGACAGTATTAGGGTCTATCTGAGTGACAGTCAACTCAGTGACAGTAAGTCTAATTTTGCTTCTTTAATTTTGTACATAAAGAAACCAAGTGAAGGTTAAAGAATCTATTCATTTTCACACAGATTCTGAGTGGACCTAAAAACATGCTTCCTCAAAGTATATGATTTGTTGAACATAAAACTGATGATCTGCCGTGTAAACTTTTCACTCAATTCACAATAAAACTTAAAACAAAAAACATGTTTCCCAAGGCCAGTCCAATTTAACATTTAGTGAGTACCAACAATGTACCAAGGAGCTCTGGTAGCGTAGTGGTTACGAATCTGTCTGCAAACCTTAAGGTCAGCGGTTCGAAACTACCAGCCGCTCCGCGGGAGAAAGATGAGGATTTCTACTCCCGCAAAGATTTACACCCTTGGAAACCCTGTCCAGGGTCGCTATGGGTCAGAACCGACTCGACGGCACTTAACAACAACAACAACAATGTACCAAGCATTATGTTTAGAGCTAGAGGTAAACATACAAAGTGGTGACCAGTGTCCTAAAAACCCTGGACCCTTGCACATTTACAGTCCTGCTGAGTAGCTGAGCAAATACGGTTTGTTATAATCCTATAAAGAAAACGGTAATGACAAGGGAAGACGGAAGCATGAATCACTTACCTCTAAACTAGCATGTAAGGAACAGACCAAAAAAATGGGAGGATTGGAAATTCGGAATCCACTGGCCCCAGGAATTAACTGGAGTTCTGAAAAGTTAATGTCATGTTATTCTTATAAAATATACCCCAAAAAAGTGTCCATAGAGAGAGTAAAATAGAAAATAGTGAGACTTAAAAACATTTATTCCTTGAAGCAAGGGTATTTGAGAGAAACTTAAATATCTGAGATATTTAAGAGAAACTTTATGGAGTAAAAATGCAGTCATAGTTCCTCTTCACCTGCAATGCCCATTTCCTCTGTCCCCACCTTCTCAGCAGTACATCAAACACCAGAACCCTTAAACTCAAGACAAACATGACCTCTTCTTTAAGCTTCTCTAGCCCTCCCATTCCCAAGCTAACATTCTTTGTTCTGCTCCACTTTAGAGAGAGAACATCAAGATTTGAAATGGCTTAGGTGACAGGAGTTATTTGTAATGCCATCCAAAGTCACAAAAATGAATGAAATGACCTGTGAAGGTGACTTTAAAATTCTAGAATTGTTTGATCAAGTGATTTCTGTTAGGAAAAAAACAAAACAAAATGAAGTCACTCAACACACGTTTCTAGTTGATATTGATCAAAACTGGTTCCCTAATTCAATGTTTGCAGTGATTACAAAACCTAAGGAAGGACACGTGGTGATATGCTGTGGACCAACACTGAACTTCGAACCACGGGTCAGCAGTACAAACCCACCAGCTGTTCCTCAGAAACCCTATACAGGGTTGTTATGCGTCGGGAACCAAGCCAAGAACAGTAACAACCACAAGGAGACTCATCTATATGATTATGTAGATTTTTGTTGTTAAGTGCTGTTGAGTGGCTTCCAGCTCAGCGATTCATAGGGTTTCCGACGCTTTAAATCTTAATGGGAGCAGAAAGCCTCATCTTTCTCCCTGTAAGTGGCTGGCGGGCTCTGGTGGTTCACAGCCCCGTTCTTTTCCTATGGAGGCACCATGCTTCGTGTTTTGTTGTTGTTACATACTGTCAGTTGTTTCCGACTTATAGCAACCCTGTATAGGATTTCCAAGGAGCGGCTGATGAGTTTGAACCACTGACCCTGTGGTTCAAATTGACCTTGCAGTCTAGTACATTATCCAACAGCGCCACACCAGGACTCCAGGAACAAATTAAACACAACATGGTTAAGACGTTGCTGCTGTTAAGTACCGTGGAGTCGGCTCCGACTTCTAGCAACTCTGTATAGGGTTTCCAAGGAGGGCTGGGGAGCCTGAAGTGCCAAGCTTGAGGTTCAAATCCACCTTGTGGTTCAAAAGGACTTTGCAGTCCAAAGCATTAACCAGCAGCGCCACACCAGGACTCGGATAGTTAGAGATAAAGGTAAAGTTAAAACTGATTAAAATAATGTTAGAATCTTCTGGGTCTGTAGAGATTTACGTAATCTGGGGATAGTCAAAGTACAATGTGCTGCACAAATGCCTGTTCATCCTTGATTTTGTAAAGTTTTACTGGAACAGTACCACACTTTCATTTATATAAGATCTATGGCTGCTTTAGCATACCAAAGCAGGGTTGAAAAGTTGCCACAGATATGGTATAGCCTGAAAAGCTTAAAATATTTCCTGTCTTATCTTATGCATAAAGTATACCTACCTTGTAATTTAATTACTTTTGTTACCTATGAGAAAACCCATCTCAAAGCAGTTAAGTACTTTACATATCAACAAAGTCAGTTACTTCAGCAGCCAAGCTACAATGCAGTGTCCTGACTTGACTGGAATAGCCCAGCTTAACTTTTTGCATCCTGATTGTTAAAAAATCTAAATATATTAAAATATTACCTCAGGGCTGGAAGCAAGCTGAAAGATCAAATTTAAAGTGAACTCACAGAAAATAATTATGATGCTTTCTTTATTCTTTGTAATTCAGGAATAGACTCATCCAGGAAAAAAGGAGGGCAGCTTGCAAATCCTATACATAGTTACTTTTATTTCTGCCATTGTACTGGGGGTTAGCCATTTATAAGCCATTTGTAACTCTCTGGTGTGTGACAAGAGCTACAGAGGGAGAAATTTGGGGTCAAGGGAAGGGAAGAAGGAATATTTAAAGTACTGGAACCCTGGTGTGGTGCTGTATGAGAAACACTGGACTGCTAACTACAAGGTCAGTCTTTCAAACCCACCAGCACTCCTAGGAAACCCTATACAGGGTCCCCATGAGTCAGAACCAACTTGACATCATTTAATGGTACATAAAAGGACCTGATGGTGTAGTGGGTTATGTATTGAGATGCTAACCATGATGTTTCTCTATGGGAGAAAGCTGAGCTGATCTGCTTCTATAAGGACCTACAGTCTCTACCTAAGGAGCCCTGATAGCCCAGGGGTTAAAGCGTTCAGCTGCTAACCCAAATGTCTGTGATTTAAATCCACCATCTACTCCATTGGAGAAAGATATGGCAGTCTGCTTCCACAAAGATTCACAGCCTTGGAAGCTCTGTGGAAGATTCTACTCTATCCTATAGGATTGCTGTGAATTGCAATGAACTACACAGCACTGGGCTAAGTGCTACATCATTTAAACTTCCAACCTTCACATATCCTCAAAACAAACTCCAAGATGCTGCTTGTTATTAAGTGCTTTGAGTTGTTGCCCACTCTGTGCAGGGTTTCTGAGGAGTGGCTGGTGGGTTTGAATTGCCGACCTTGTGGTAGGCAGCCCAGTGCTTGTCCTATAGTGCCACACCAGGACTCCAATCCTGAGGCAAATGTTATTATTCAAGAGATAGATATTATTATTCAAATGATACAACTATTAAGTTATATCACAAAACTGTATAACAGCAAACTGGGATCTTTATCCAAGTTTCTCTGGGTCTTATTCCAAGTCACAAATTCTTTTCCATCCACATGCTCAATATTTTGGGCACTCCATATTGATGAGAGCTGAGCAATCCACATGTCTGTTAGACTTTACTCACTCTTATCTTGCTACAAAGGGATAGACTTAAAATCATGCAAAATCTAGAAACACTTAGTCTTACACTCTGGAAATGTCATTTTTTATTTTAAGAATTCTCAGTGACATTTTCAAAGTGCATTCCCCATGGGGCATGTGGTATTACACATATTACAAAGATAGATGAAAGTTGAAACAAAAAATAAAGTGACTTGTGAAGAGAAATTGAAGATACTTACTGTTATCCATTTTGAATCTAGTGCTGAGTTCATGACCAAACCATCCCACTAACCTAAAATATAAACAAAAAGATATTTTAGTCTATAAGAATAACTTCAATTAATATAAGAATGTGGGGCCTGCATATTAAAACTATTTGTGGTATAAGTTATCAAATACTTAAGCCGATAAAAACAACATGATATAGTAGACAATTATTACTTAAAATCTTTTCAAAAATAATGAATAAAATAATTTATCCATATTACTAGCTGTAGGATAAGCAAAGTTGTTCTGAATAGCAAGGTCGATGGTTTGAACTTACCAGCTGCTCCTCAGAAACCCTATATAAGGTTGCCATGAGCTGGAACTGACTCAACAGCACTTAACAGCACAACAAACAATAAAATCCTCTACAGAGAAACATTTGTAGTGACTTTTTCTTTATGCATCCCCAGTGGAGACCCTGCTTTCCAGGTGTTTGGAGCCACGTGGTTGGAAGTCACACCATTGTGAGGTGCGAGCCAGCTGTGCTACTTTAGTGCCTATCTTTGGTGCCCCATGTTGGGGTACTCAAACAAGCAGGCTCTGTTCCAGAGCTACAGACCCCACAGAGCCACTAGACCAGCATTTAATTAGTTGCCCTGTCCCCAGCTACCCTGTGATCCTAACAGACACTGAAATTAGCTCTATCAAGGGCTTCTATGAGCTTCTTCCAGTCTGAGGGTCCTGAACATAGACAATACAGAGGCCCATAGGAACTCCATCTAGGACAAGAAACTCTGCTGTCACAGCCATCCTATACTTGCCTAATTGTGGTTGTGGTGGTGGTGGTGGTTATATGCCATGGAGTCGGTTCCAATTCATAGTCAAGCTTGGATAGAGTTCCCAAGGCTATAAATCTTTACGGGAACAGAAAGACTCATCTTTTTTACACAGAAGAGCTGATAGTTTTAAACTGCTGACCTTGAGGTTAGCAGCCCAACTCTTAACCACTATATTACCAGAGCTCCTTGATTTGCAGGAAGCCACACAGAGTTGACTCCTCTGCCTGTCCATCAACAACAGCTTGTTTGTTTGTTTGTTTGTTTTGGGGGGAGGGGGTTAGTTTTTTCCTCCTGTATTTGTTTCATTTATTTGTTCATGTTTATTCTTTCTCCTCCTTTTTCTCTTTCCATTTCTTTGGATTTTATCCTTTCTATATGTACTGCTATTTTTCCTTCTGTTTCTCAGTTCCCTTCTTTTTTTATTTCCCCTTTTGTTCTTTAGCAGTTTCTACTCTCTCCTTTTATCTTCCTTCTCTCTGATTTTTCTAAGTGATTTTTTTTCAACTTCTTCCTTTTATTTTCTCTCTTATTTTTCTCTTTCATAGCTCCATTTCCCTGTTCTTTTCTGCCTTTATAGTTATTATATTCTTTTTTGCTGATTTTTGCCTGTTTTTAATTTCTTTTTTCTCTTTATTATTTTCTCTTTTCATTGTTGGTTCCTTGTTTGTTTATTCTCTTTTGTTTTCTTATGTGGAGGGGAATGGGGTTCTCTTTCCCATACAGCAGGAGACAGCAACTGTGCCCATACAGTCCAGCTACAACTGGGCCCTATGCAGCTCCACCTATCAGGAAAGAGTCAGTACCAGCTCCTATGCCACCAGACCAATGATAGAGAGCAACGAACACCAGCCCAAACCACCCTAAACTGAACTGCTGAAACAGTGAATGAGAACAGTGTACACACTTCCACTCGCTAACTACAACCACAGGAGATAGAACATGCTAACATAAAATCATCAATTAAATACAAATATGACAACCCCACAATGCCCCAGAGACAACAGACAATTTTAGATTTCATGAAGAAACTAGAGAGGATGGCTCAAACAAATGACTAAGAAGCAGAGCCAGAAAACATTTCTGATAAAGAAAAGGTAATGGAACTAAATGAAAAAGAATTCAAAAGAAATATAGTTAAGTAACTTAAAAGGATGGATAGTTTGAGGAAAGCAAAGAAAATATAGAAGAAACTTTAGAAGAATTCAGGAAAACACTAAAAGAACAAGCAAATAATAAAATTTTGAAACAATACAAAACATGCAATTATAAATCCAGACGATTAATATTAAGATTTCAGAAATGGACAATACATTGAAAGTGCAAAGTAATGGAAACTCGAATTATTAAGTTCAATGATAAGGCTCTCAATACTAACATATTAGGAAACAATCAGATACAAGAATGAAAAAATTTGAAGAAAGTCTCAAGAATTATATGGGATACCATGAAGAGGAGCAACTTAAGGGTGATTAGAATCCCAGAACAGGAAGAGACAATTAAAAGCACAGAGAAAAATATTGAAGTGTTGTTGGACGAAAACTTCCCTAATATCACAAAAAAATTAGAGGACAAGCACATAAGAAGCTGAATAAACCCCAAATAGGATAAGTCCTAAAAGAAAACCACCAAGACATATCATAATCAAACTCTCCACCCCAAAGAAAAGGAAAGAATCCCGAGTACAACTTGGGAAAAACAAAAAAGTTACCAACAAAGGAGAACCAATAAGACCAAATCCTGATTTTCCAGTGAAAACCATGTAGGCAAGAAGGCCTACATGGTTTATAGAATGGAATATACAAAACTCTGAAAGAAAAAAATTGACAACCAAGAATCATACAACAGGCAAAGATGTGTCTCAAATGTGATGGTGGAATTAGGACATTTCCTGATAAACAAAAAATTAAAGGAATGGTAATGACGAGATCAACTTTAAAAAAATGTTAAAAGGTATTTTTTGAGAGAACCAGTAATAGCAGACAACAACATGAGATTACCATTCATGAAAATATCACCCAGAGCTCAATCTAGATATGGCTGGTGGCTGTGTGCTGTGGAGTCGGTTCTGACTCATAGCGACCCTGTACAGGGTTTCTGAGGCTATAAATCTTTACAGGAGCAGAAAGCCTCATCTTTCTCCCATGGAACAGCTGGTAGTTTCGAACTACTGACCTTGCAGTTTGCAGCCCGATTCATAAACACTATGCTACCAGAGCTCCTTAATCTAAATATGTTGTTGTTAAGTGCCATCGAGTCGGTGCCGACCCATAGCGACGCTGTACAAGGTTTCCAAGGCTGTAAATCTTTCAGGAGCAGAAAGCCTCATCTTTCTCCTGCGGAGCGACTGGTAGTTTCGAACTGCTGACCTTAAGGTTCGCAGCCCGATTCGTAACCACTACGCTACCAGAGCTCCTTATAGAAGTATTTAAAGTAAAACAAACTAACAAGGCTAAAATAGCAAACCAGAGATATTCCAGTAGTGTATAATGAAGTCAACTACTATGCAAAAAGAGGCAATGATGTAGATACAGAACTTCCAAATGCAAGGAAGTCAAGTGGACTTCAAGATAAAACAGACTTTTAAATAGAGAAAAAAATTAATAAATTACACCCTCACATTAAAATTTTAAAAAGAAAAGAAAAACAACACACCAGGATATTAAAATTAAAAAATCAGAAAATCAGAAAGATTTAGTAAACATTAACACAATGTAAGTGAAAATGAACAGAAAACCCAAAACCAAAATGAACTCAGCATAGAAAATTATGTGGAATAAGCACAGTAAAATGACAATAATCAATTCATGAATATAATTGGATTAAATGTGCCCATCAAGAAACAGAGCAGAATGCATAAGAAAACAGAATCCTTCAATATGCTGTATACATTTAAAACAATGGAGACAACCTAAAGGCCCACCAACACAAGAATAAACTTTTGTACACACATTCAGTGGAATACTACACAACACTGAAGAATAACAATTGATCTGTGAAGCACCTCACAACATGAATGAACTTGGAGGACATTGTACTGAGTGAAATTAGTCAGCCACAAATGGACAAATATTGTATTAGACCAATGTTTTAAAAAGTTATGAAAATGTTTTTCTTGATAAAAGAAATAATCTGTGATAATTACAGAGTAGGGTAAAAGGGAAGGGAAATTATTCATGGGTGAAAGAGCACATACTTATTAACTTGGATGGCAGGGAAGGTAATATACAACAGTAGGGAGGTTAGCAAGGGAAAAATAAAGGTAGTAGGAGACACAGAGAGAAATTCAATTTAAAAATGAATAGAGGTAAATACTGCTAACTATTAGTACATGGAAGTGATTGTAATCATTATAATGAAGTCAACTATATAATTTGTTAAATGTAATACTGATGATCTGCTCAAAGTAAATACATTATGGATATGTTTTTTAACTGCAAACCAATAAAACTAGCAAGTAATAAGAAAATTAGAAGAAATGAAAATCTTCAGTTGGGAAATTTACTGCCAAATTTATTATCAAATTACTTTAAGTTTAAAGAAGAATACAAATTGAATTTATATAATTGCTTTAGAAAAATGATAATGAAAACATGGTGTATCATTATTTTGGGATATTGCTAGAACAGTGCATATAAGAAAATTCTTAGCTTTAAATTTTATGTCAATTAAAAAAATAAAGACAAATAAATCACTAAAACTTAAAGAGTTACTTAAAAAAAAAAGCAAGAAAGAAACCAAAACCTAGCAATGTTGTTGTTGTTAAGTGCCATTGAGTTGGTTCTGACTCGTAGTGACCCGGCACAGGGTGTCCAAGGAGCAGCTGGTGGGTTTGAGCCACTGACCTTGTGGCTTGCAGTTCAGTACTTATCCTACAGCACTACCAACCATATCAGGAATCCAATAGCAATAACATGTAATTAATAGAGACAAAAACTGAAATTAATGGTTAGGAAAAAAACAACAACTAACATTGATACACAAAACAAAATTGAAAAAACAGTTACATTGATACATAAATAAAAAAAAATCCAATTTACTTAGGGGGGAATGATACCAATTACTTGAAAATGCACAAAACAGTGTAATTAAAAAAAATAAAACATGGGAAGTAACCATTGCAAAACAGGGAAAAGGAAGAACATCCATCATAAACTGGAGATTGATTAAATTAATTTAAAAGTATATGATAAGGGCAATTTTATAAGAAATCATTATTCATTCAAACCAATTGCAGAAGAGAAAAGAC